AGAAATTGGGGCTGGGGAAATAGCTCAGCAGTCTAAGCACCTGCCTGGCAAGCGCAACCCCCGGGATTTAATCCCCACTACTGCATGCCGTGCTATGTAGTAAGACCCTGTAACAAACAAATAAGATATTAAAAAAAGACATAGAAATTATCAAAATGAAATGGATAGAGAGAGTAAGGAACAAAGTATTTTCATGCCCTTGAATTGTGTTGTCTCTCTTTTGATTTTGCAGTTTATTCTAAGAGAATAATGCAAAACATAGAAATTAGAGTGCGTATGTGAAATATATATAGTTGAAATAATTAAAAATAATTTAAAAATAAAGGTCATTTATGAAAACAAAGTTATATTCTTTACATGAAATTTAAAATAATGAAAACTACCAATAACAGCAGCAGAAACTCTTCCATGTGGTTTATGTAGATCATCTCACTTAACCTTCGCAAGAGTCCTGGGAGATGGGATCCTTATTTATTTTACATATGTTAAAATTGACTCCCAAAATTCAAGGAAAGGCAGTGTTATAGTTTGTGTCTAGTTGTCCCCCCAAAGCCTCCTGCAATCATTAAGGCAGCTTCTAGAGTTTGTGTTTGATTCATGATCCAATATGGGGACTATGGGTTTGTTACCCCTGCACTGGGGTGAGTAATCTGCATTAAAATATAAGAAGGGGAGAGAAACTTGCTAGGAGCTCTAGCTGCTCCTCTCTCAGTTCTTTGCAGTTTTACGTGCTATGAATGGCTGCCCTCTTCCATGTGCCACTCTGCCTTGGAGTCAGCCTAGTATGGACTGAAAGCTCCACTAACTCTGAGCTAAATAAACTGTTCCTTCCTTACTGTTGGGTGTTGGGTATCTTGTCCCAGCAATGAGAGAAAAGTAACTACAACAGGCAGCTTGACTTTGTTGCTTAAAAAAAAACAAGATGTGAAAATGGAGATTCAGAAATAGTTTTATATCAAAGGAAAATAAAAAAGATAATATGTCAAAAGTGCTACTTTTTAAGAAATTGGTGACCTGAAGTGTTTATTTTAGTGAACAAGAAACATCTAAAATCTAAAATTCCTTCCTCCAGAAATTAGAAATTAGAAAAAGTTGCAGCAAGGCTAAATATAAGAGCCAAAATCAGTAAAGGAAAGAAAAACAACATAAATGAAATCAACACAAAGTTTGTGGGAAAGGTCATTATGGTTGATAAATTTATAGTTGGGCAAATTTACAAAAAAGGAGCTTATTAGGAATAAGACTTTAGGTCATGTGAACAGCTGCTGTCCTGCTGAGTATGTCAGGATGCAAAGCCACCTTCACCCAAGCCAGTTATCAGAATCCTTTATACCAATCGCAATTTTGAAAAATGAGGCAGAGTTTCTGCCTGCACACACGTTGTGCTTGTTTATTGCCTGCCCTAAGTGTGATGGATTCCTTAAGTTCAGAGTGCCTCTTCAGTAGCCCAGCCCACTACACATGTCAGATTCATGTGGTACTCTGCATCCTGCTGTGAGACTTCTGGGCAAGGAACCAGAACACTAGTACTAATTTTTTTTTTTTGTTTTATTGTGGTAAAATATATGTAACACAAATTTTACCATCTTAATAAATTTAAATGTATAATCCTGCATTCAGTGCACTTCTATCTTGTTCAACCAGTCTCCAGAACTACTCATCTTGCAAAACAAAAGCAATCTTTCCACTCATTAGACAACTCTCATCGTTCAGGTCCCAAGAACCACCATTTCCCTATTTCTATGATATTGACTACTCATAAAAAAACTTGATATAATATTTATCTTTCTACATTTGGTTTATTTCACTTAGAAAAATGTTTCCCAGTTTCATCCACATTATAGGATGTTAGAATTTCCTTCCTTTTCTGAATAACCCATTATTTGCATAGATACTATTTTAATTGTGCAGTCATCTGGTCAATGGACTTGGGTTTCTTTTGCCTCTTGGCTATTGTGAATAATGTTATTATGAACATGGGTATAAAGATACTTCTGCAAGGATTTACTTTCACTTCCTTTAGTTATGTAATCCACATGCAAGATTGCTAGAGCATATGCTAATTTTATTTTTAAATTTTCAAAGAATTGTCAAACTGTTTTCCACAGTTGTTGCACCATTTTATATTCCTACCAATAGAACCTCAGAAGGGTTTCAATTTCAGTACAACTTTGTAAAACTTGTTAATTTTTATTTTGTTTGTCTTTAGAAAATAACAAGTGTTGGGAAGTTGTGCTGAAATTGAAACCCTTTTGAAGTTCTATGGTTTTGATTCATATTACCCTAAGGATTAGTACATGGAGTATATTTATATTTTGATGCTCCTGTTGGAATTGTATATCTTCTTTGGAAAAATGACCAGTGCTTGGGTCCCTTCCCATTTTTTAAGTTGATTTTTTTGTTATCATTGTTGTTGAGTTGTAGATTTGTAAAAATATATTCTAGATGTTAATGATTTCTGAAATATATGATTTGCAGATATTTTCTCTCCATTGTGTTGGTTGCCCCTTTCTCATTTTGCTGAATGTGTCCTCTGTATTTGCAGTATGAAGTTTGCAATTTTGATGTGATCTTATTTTGCCACTTATATTTGTGATGTCATATTGAAGAAATCATGCCATATTTAGTGTCACGAAGCTTTTTCCTAAGAATTTTATAGTTTAGCTTGTATACTCAGGTCTTTGATCTATTTTGAATTAACTTTTTGTGTATTGAAAGGGTAAGAGTTCACCTTCATTCTTTTGCATCTGAATGTCCAATTTCCTGGCATTATTTGTTAGGAAGACTATTTTTTGTATTGCATGGTCTTGGCACCGTGTCAAAAGGAATTTGGCCATGAAGGTGAAGGGTTTTTGGGAATTCTATTATATTACATTAGCCTAAAAAAATCTGTCTTTATGCCAGCACCATAGTGTTTTTATAACAATGACTTTGTGATAGCTTTTGTAGTCATAAAATGTTAGACATTCATTTTTTTCTTTCCTAAGATTATTTTCACTGTTTTGGATCCATTGATACTCCATACAAATTTTAGTGTGGTTACCTCTAGTTCTACAAATAATATCATTTGGGATTTTGATAAGATAGGGATTACATTACATGAAGCCTAAAGATCACATTGGGTGAGACTGACATTTTAGCAATACAAGTCTATGAGCACAGGATGTCTTTTCATTTATTTGCAGCTTTAATGTCTTTCATCAACATTTTATAAATTTCAATTGTTGGTCTTCATTATTGTATTCTTTTTAATGTACTGTAAATGAATTTTTTCTTTATTCTTTCTTTAAATTGTTTTTCTTTTTCTGGTAACTGCTTCTGCTGTGACAAATCTCTGCCTCTGTCCACAAATCTCAGTTCTTCTTTGAGTCTTCCTGAAATAGCAGAACTAACTTTATTTTTCTCCTTACAAGAACACAAATTACCAATGGAAGGAATGAAGAGGAAATAACATTGTAAATCCTTAAAGCTAAAGTCATAAAGTAGAAATGAAAAGCTTTATGGAACTATTATATACCTAATAATCTAAATAAAATGGACAAATTTATTGAAAGCATATCATCTGTCTTGGTTGCTTTCTTGTCATTGAGATGCAAGTT